TGGTTACTATTCTGTCCTAATAATGATACTAATAATAATAGTGACGACACCCACATGAAGCGCCTTGAAAGGCGCTATATAAAAATAAATTGAACTGAACTGACCAATTCCTGTATGACCCTGTGTAATGTGAAAGTCTGCATTGTGTTGCTTTGGGGTGACCTCCTCCTTACAGGGACTGATGACACTTAATCTGATGTTCCGGCATTTTAATGTCCCTATTAACACAGTCGCAGGCTGAGAAGCTGATCGTTTGTTCTCTTGCTGCATATGAAAACAGATTTTCCAGGCCATCCAGACAATGCTCCTGAATATTACAGGTCGTTCGGATACCTCTGCTCCTTCTGCGGACACCGTGGCGGTTTTGCCAGATTTTATCTGGGTTATTTATGCGTGGAGTGCCAACCCGTTTTCGCGTGGAATTCTCCTCTGCCGTGGATATTTTGATGAGGGATTTGGCAGCTTTCGGGGATCCATTGATGTCCTGTTTGGTACTTTTGTGAAGAGCTGGTAGGAAGTCATTTAAATATTCCGTAAATTCCCCAAGCAAGACTTCCCGTCATCCTGATTCCACATGGAGAAGCTATATCTTCTGTAAGAATCATAGATGCTGAAACGAACTATGCCTCAGACACCCAACCTGCCCTCCGACGCGGAAAAGATCGACGCACCAGCCTTCCTTTATTAGGTCTTTGGTACTCGTAATAGTCGACTCGTTTTTTTAAATAACAGCAGGCATTTTTGGCATATCTACAGCGACAGCAAACAGCTGGGGAATGCTCTTCAAAGGCACATCCCTTGCTCATCGGTGGAAGCCGGCGAGATCCCGCAGTCAGGCCCGCGGTTTGGCAGATAAGCAAGCAGCCATTTTCCTGGGGATCGCTGGAAGCCACCCGTGTCAGAGGCACGCGGCATGTCACCTCTATAGAAAACAACAGCTCCATTACTCTCCCAGATATAAAGCGGTTGGCCTCTTTTTATGAGGAGAGTTTCCTTTGGTCGACTCTTGACCCCTTCGCTCATCAGCAGAGCGCTACCACCCACTCATCCAGCCACTGCCGTTCAGGTCATATCTCACCGAAATCCCATCAAGCGTTATTGAATATTAGAGGATATTATCTGTCCCAAACAAGCTCTTAATTACCTGATCTTAGTGTGGTGTCAATTATGGATGGTTTGAAATACTACAATGTTCACGAGCAGTTTGTGAGAGGGGGTTTAAACAGAGAAATTATAAAGGCTCTTTACAGGACAGCGTGGCGGCGGTTGACGCAGACGTCCTTGCGGCTGTGTCACTCCTGCCCAGCGCCTGTTCCTTTCCTCCACAGAGACCTGAGGCTGCCTCCGTTTCCCAGACAGCTCCACCCCATGAGGTCACCAGGAGACATTTTGCAGTTTCGGCGCCAGAGCCGGCACTTTACTCTTAAGCAAAATCCTGGTTCTGAAATCAGACGTCTTCAGTGTCCGCCATGTACTTGGCTCCGGTTCTCGGTCGATGTGGGTTGACCTCACCGTCGGCTGGCTGGGGGCCCCGTAGAGCGAGACGGCCAGGGATGAGACGCCGTGGCCTGCTTATGTGGGGCTGCGACCCTTTAATCACTAAAATAACATTATAAAACCATTTCACCTCCGTTGACTTCAGTGGTGGCCCTAACATTTACATTAAGACGACGACTAACCCATTTTCTCTTGGCTGCCTGTTCCTTAAAAACATTAAAGCAAAATCTCTCTGCTGATTGCGTGAAACTATCTGCTGTGAAACATGCGCCAAGGCAATGAAAATGCTCCTTTTATGACTTTTTTATTGCACTTTGACAATAGTAAAAGTGAGGAACAACGCCGGAGTGCGGCTGAGTGGAATTCCCCTTTGTGCTATCAACCTGGGTTTCAAAACAATGGTGAGAGGAACTTGGGAGGGAATTTTAACATATCACTCCCCCTTGGCACCTGTGATGTGGGGGGTTTCCCTTGAAAAGCTTCTGCCTTGTCTCGAGGCACCTGTACTGCATCCATTCCTGCTGTGTCTGTCCACGATTTCCGGATATGACTGTCTGTCTGACGTGTGCAGCATAGAGATGGGGAAAGCTTAAGGTCTGAGTGCAGGGCCGGCCAGCGTCCAGGGCCCCTGGAGCAGCGGGGGTTAAGGGCCCTGCTCAAGGGCCTAACAGTGATACAATTACCCTGCCGGCCACAGGATTCAAACCCACAACCTTCCGGACGGGGCACGGATCCGTACCCCCTGCAAGCTACACACCGCCCGGAAACGGTGTTATATAAATAGAACTGTTCTGAATGGGGCCAGTATTTTGTAACAAACCAAATGTCTAAAGTAACTGGTTGAAATAAAGAGCACCATCTGGCTGATTTTATTGTTCTTTTTAAGACGTTCCAGGGCTGAGGCCTCACTCACAGTGACACGGTCATCAGGTCCAGGGTGAAAGTCGCTTAGAACCTCCCCTCTGCCCATCAAAAGCACTAAAACAGCTTTCAGGTGTGTGACAGGCTGCTGGTGCAGAAAGCCCGCCCCCCAAAGCCTCAGCCCCACCCCTTTTAGCTATAACAAGGGGGAAAAGCCCCTTAGGTGCCCTGCATCAGCTCTCCCCAAAGCGGAATGACAGCAATCATAGTGCCATAGTAAGTCCAGTCCAGCGAGGTGAGGGATCCTGACCGCTAGTGTCAGTCCCACAGCCAGCTGGGCCACCTGTGGCATTTCCACCCCCCCAGCGCCGGGAACGTTTACATACCCAGACAGATTTTTGACACCAGTTTTAAAAGTACTGTATGGTGCTGCTGAGTCTTAAAGAAACAGCGGGAATATTTTGGTTCACGTTCAAGCCCTTCGGGCACGGTGTCCGCACCCGAGGAAGGAAGGAAGGAAGGAAGCGAGGGAAAGGATTTAAACCGCGTCCACTGCGTAACACAAAACCGCACGCGAACCCTCAGGCAGATTACTCAACTTTCCCCATCACGCCCCCTGCAGGCAGTAAAACGAAACTGACGACACTGGACGAGAAGCACCTTTAATACTGTATGAAACACATTGTTTGCAAAAATCAATTTATAAATTCAATAAGAAAAAGACAGGTTCCGACATCTCAGTACAAATTAGTGTAACTACACTTGGACTGATATTTCTACATTATCCTGTCCAAGAAACGAATTACAGGGCGTTCAAATACATATTTTTCTTAACCTTTGACAGCGAGTGAGGGCTGTAACCTGGGAGAGCAGGCCGACTGAGAAGGCGTTCCCGTTCCTAACCTGCGAAACCTGTTAAGGCGTCTCTCAAACAAAAGACGCGACGTCTGGCATTGCGATGGGGCACAAAGCCAGGCGTTTCGGGAGATGAAAACGCACTGCTAATGCAACAGGGTAAGATAGACGGCTTAGAATCTGCTTTAGGCTTAATACCCAAGGAGGACAATAGACGACAGAACGGAATGAACGACAGCCCTCGACTGGAGCACGTGTTCGCATTTAAGACGGCCTCTCGACACCACACACGGCGTGCGGAAAAGGCCAGGGCACCGGACGGGGATGAGGGAGTTGAAAGGGACGTGAGGAAGGGGTCGAGCGCCAGGTGGAGAGAAGAAGTTTGCCATGGAATGTGCTAGAAATCTCCCGGGGGTGGGAAAGGAAGGAGAGGCTCACGGGCCATCAAAACCCTTCCTGGAGTTTGGCTTTGAAGTGGCTGATGTGCCGCCGGCGAACTGGGTCACTACAGACCCCATGGACGAGGCTGAAATGGTACAGCGCCGACGAAAACCGGCTGCAGGGCGCGGAACATAATACTGCAGATTACAAAGATGGGGGGGGGGGCGCATGACCAGGCCTGAATGTAAATGTAAAAACTGACTTATCCAGAGCTAAATACCCTCAGCCTGCAGAGTTCAGATGGAGGTCATACCCCCCCCTCACTCCTTAGCGGGCCAGAAGGCTTTGTTAGTGCATGTATGCGTGTTTGTCTGACTGTACCTATATGCCCAGGATCCTGGCCACGGTGTGGCCCAGGCCATGCCCACTCAGGGGCGGGGCCTCAGTTTCTCTTCCTGCCCGGGTTGCTCTTGTTGAAGAGGCTGACGGCCGCCTTGGGCCCCCCTGCTGCCGCCACACCCGGCTGCTGCAGAACCTTGTCCAGCGTCGTCTTCTTGATGGCAGCCGGAGAGATGCTCTCCTGGTCGGCCAGGGACTGCAGCTCCCTGGGAGGGTGAGGAGGAGCATGAGGAAGGGCAGGCGAAGAACCGGAGGTCAGAGCACATCACGGCCAGCCTCAGTGCACGGTTTGTTAACTGTGCCAGGTTGGAGGTCACTGGTTCGCTCCCAGATGGGGCTCGGCTGTTGTACCCTAGAGCAAAGTACTTAACCTGAAATGGCTCCGGTGAAAACGTGTGGCCGTATAAACTGACTCTGCGTGCTGTCAGCCGGGCAGCGAAATGTAAGCGGGCGTCTGAAGCAACTGTCTGCCCATTAATAGACCTGGGATTTACGGCAGGAGCGGCGACGCAGGAAATAGAGCAGGAACAGTTCAGCCTCGGCTCCCTGGAGACACGCTGATGCTGCAGCCCGCAGGAAAGCTCTTTAACTTTTAATTTATTCGGCAAAATATGCAGTAGTTGTACGTCGGGGTCAGAAGCGTAAAACCGTACATTTATACAAGTCATTCTGGAGAACAAACACAATCAGCTAGGTAACTTGGTGATGGCCCTCGAAGACTTAGACATCTCCACTCCACTAGTGCCTCACGAGTTGAACGTCCGCTACTCGTGACTGCCCCCTTCTGGCCAAACAGTGACATGACAGAGTAACAGCTGCGGCGGATCTGACGGTCGATCATGCTATTAACCGCTTTAATTTGAACGCCTGAGCGGACAGAGGAAGCTCTGAGGAATAACCACAGCTGTCAAAGAGACTTAAAACAAACATGACCAACTTCCGGCCTTGTCCTTGAAATAAGCACTGACCTTTTCAGACAAATTTAGCCAAACCGAGACCAAGCCTACTGAACACCGACTGTGATAGGCTCCCCCAGAAAGGAGTGGCTGAGGGTGCTGAATGGAGCTGGGGACGAGGGGGGGGGTACGGCGGCACACCTAGTTCGAATGCAAGAGGCCTCCACAGCGTTGATGAGCAGGCTGCGGAATCCCCCGCTCTCCAGGAAGTGCAGGGCGTGAATGGTGGCGCCCCCTGGTGAGCAGACATTATCCTTCAGTTGGCCGGGATGTTGCTCCGAGTCCAGCAGCATCTTGGCCGCGCCCTGGTGTGACAGAATGAATCAGAGGGACTTCACACTGACCTGCTCCTCAGGGGACTGGCTGTACTGGTATCAGCAATCAAACGGGACTTCCAGTAACAACAAGAGGAGACGGCGGCTCACCAGTAAGGCTTGAGCTCCCAGCCGGACGGCTAACCTTCTGGGCAGCCCCATCTTCACCCCACCGTCCGCGAGGGCATCCAAGGCCGTAAACGCCTGGTGGAGGGGGCGGGGGGCAGAGGGGGTGGCGCAGGACGACAGAAATCAGTATCAACAGACCATCGGGGAACAGCGGCGAGCTCCCTAAGATCAACAGCAGCTGCTTTTCCGGAGCGACCCAGGAAATCAGTGTGATGCAGACAGGAAGTGCTGCCGGGGAGGGCGAAGCGGACAAGGAGGCAGACTTCCGACGGAAAGTTTGCAGGTTCAAGGCCGGGGAGAGGAGTCAGTGACGTCCCTGAGAGGGGACACACACCCCGGACGCCAGCCGGCCGGCCGAGTAAAAGGCCACAACGCGTGTGAGAGGTATGCAGGTCAAACTGGGGTGGGGGGGGGTAACCAAATAGCCGAACGGCTAACTGGGGCAGGGCAGGGAGGCCATAACCCGACACGGGGGAGTCTCTGCCCCAATCCCTGAGCCTCGGCGGGTAATTAAACCCGGCCAGCGCCGCGCCCTCAGCCTGCATATGGGACCTGGGGGCGCCTGCCCCCGCCATATATAACCCGGCACGCAGCCGACCGCCACAACGGCATTAAGGGAAAGACAAAAGTGGTCACTCTCGGTGGCATTTGCCACACTTCATGAGGCCCCCTGTTGACCACAATCTGTCACTACACTGGGGGGGGGGGGAGCAGGGTGCCCAGACATGATTTTTTCAGTGGTGCCCCAGAAACAACCAACTAGACCCAGGTCACTCTTAATACAAATTCCTTCAAAAACAAAGCCCCTGATATAAACAGATATATATGTATTGACAGTGACTGAGAGGCAGGGCATATGATGTGGGGTCACGACCCTCTTTAGCGAGAAGGGGAACTGAGGTTTTACCATTAAGTGAAACACCAAAATACAACAGGCCACTAATCCAGGTCCATATGACATTTATATTACATTGGAATTTATTTAGATGACCTGGTGCCGACCACAGGATTTGAACCAGCGACCTTCTGGTGAGTGATCTAACCCACTGAGACACACATTGAACAATCAGGACAAAACTGAGCGATGCTTTTTGAGGTAAATGTGCCAAAAAATGGGTTAAAGACGAGGGGGTAGGGGAGGTGGAGGCGGGCGGATCGAGACGCCCCGACAGGATGGTACGCCAGCGTGCAGTGGACTCCACTCACGTAGGCAGGGCCGCTGCCGCTCAGGCCGGTGACGGCGTCGATGAGGTCCTCCTCCACCTCCGTGCAGAAGCCCACACTGGCCATGAGCTGCTCCAGCAGTCTGCCGTCCTCCGCCTCGGCGTGCGTGCCCACCGCGTACACCGTGGCCCCCTCCCGCACCACCACCGGCGTGTTGGTCATGCAGCGCATCACGCGGGGAGCCGGCCGGTACTGGACAAGCTTCTGCAGAGCGATATGGGGGGGGGGGGGGGGGCAACAGTGGTCACATTTACGGCATTGTAAATAATCAGATTCTAGATTCTGTCATCTCATCGTGTAAGGGCGCACCCGACCGCACAGGGGTACCAGGAAATGCCATGCGTCCCAGGTCACCGTCCACCGTCCGCTCACCACTGAGGAGCATCCAACACATATCACAGTCCGCTCGGCCGAACATGCTGATGTTTGTGTTTCCGTCATGCAAAGATCTAACAGCAAGCTCTCTAAACGACGAATGCTGGGAACCATCACATGTCATGTGAGCCACCAGTGTACTGGGTGCCCAAAGTGCCCACAGCTACAACAACCTGAACAAAATTCACACTCTCGTCCCAAAATATGAGCAAAATTAATAAGTCTTGAGCATTTTCATGTCCAATTAATAATGTTTTTGCAATATAATGAATCGTGTTATTTGTGATACTGATGTCCAAAGTTCTTTAAAACGATAAACTACAGAATTAAGATATTACCAAAAATAAGCAACACTGTAATATTAAAAGCTACCTGGCGAAATGCTGACTTGTCACTACAAAGGCACTGGTTACTGTCCCTGCAAGTCTGAATACTATTTACAGTGATTGTTTATGTCCTGAAAAGAGAAACGTCTTGCTGTGATTATTTATTCATTACTGGTGATAATACTTGACATGTTTTGACATTTTATGAAGCGTTTGTATGTTCCTCTTAATGAAATAGGTCTAGTGGCAATTTTCAGATTGTGAACTGCATAATGTGTGTGTTTTGGTTTAATTTGTACAGTAACAAGAGCATGAAAGCTCATTCTTAAAAAAAATATATAACTCTAGAAAGAAGCTCAGCAACAGTAAATTTTGGTCAGACCATCTTGGGATATACAAGTATCCATGATAAAAATATGGAAACGATTCTAATGCGGACATTACAATAGGCAATTTTGAGGAAATATGAAAATCAAGTACATTTCAAAACATTATTGTAAGACTCCTATTAGAGTAATAAATATTGCTGCTTCTCATCCAGTGGACCAAGATATTGTTATAAGCCGGACATTCCGTATCAGAGGAGCGCCGTGAGCTGGAAGCTGGACTGAAGCTGAGTTGGCAGAATGCATAAAATCAATTAAAATTTCAAAAGGCTGTAGTTTCAATACTATTAGAGATACAGACTTAATGTTTATGATTTCTCCTGAAGTTTGGCATAGGAGCTCCTGTGATTTTTTTGATGGGAATCTCAGAGGGTGACCGGGGATAATTTTCTCGAACTGAGTGATTTGATACAGAATGACTCATAATCATATATATGCCTAGTTCTACGGTAACGGTATTACAACAAAATCTGGGTACAATTTGAAAAGAACGGACTTGCTTTGTTTAAAATGCCATCAGTTCTCTGTTGGCCTGCACCCTTCACCAAATGCATGACATTTTGGTAACGCAATTGCCTCTGCTGTAGAATTGCTCATATATTATAAAGAACTTGTTATCTCCCGGGGTACCAAACCCAGTCTTTACCAGACAGGAAACCACACACATGACCCAGGTCCAAATTCACCTAAGACCCTGCGCAAGCACCCTGTCCTCCAAGAAAACGGCCTGCAAGGACCCCTGGCAACAGGAGACCCGCTTCTTCACCTCCCGCCACACCTGCCCCACCTGCCCCCCTGCTCCTCAGGACCCACTCAAACCCGCCACCGACCTTCTCGATGGAGCTGATTGTGACACCGGCCGCACAGGACACAATGAGATGCCGGTCCTGGATGTCAGGCCCGATCTCGTCCAGCACAAAGGGGATGATGTGCGGCTTGACGGCCAGGAAGAGCACGTCACTCCGGTTGGCCGTCTCCTTGTTGCTGGTGGTGAAGTTCACCCCCATTTTCTGCATGCAGCAGGAAAGAAATATTTGTAAAAACGCTTAACGGCATTCGGGGGGGACGGAAGCACCCATGTGAGAGGCAGGCGGCACGCACCCTGAGGCCGGACACCGTGGGGAGCTCAGTGTCCGGCGAACTGGCCATGATCTTATGCGTCGCAATTACACCTCAAGTGGGGAGGGAGACAAAAGTGTGGCAGTCAGCGAAAAAGAAAAAGAAAAAAACAACAAAACAAAACTGCCCACCCAACATAAAAGAAATCAGGCTATACTGTAAACGCACGAACAAGCTGAATCTCTGGTCAAAGAAGCATTCCTCTGTGGCAGCTGGATTACGGCCAAAATAAGCTGAATAGGGGAATGGTAAAACGGCCAGTGAACCCTAAAAAACACATTAACGTGGCCAGAGACTCCTTCAAATCGCTTTTTCAATGGGGGTGGGCAAGGGGGGTCCTACCGGCTGCGGTAAAGCCTTTGACTAAGGCGTGGGCGAGCTGGCCCGCTCCGATAAACCCCACACTCATTGCGGTCTCTGGAAAAAAATAATACAAATAAAAATTATAGTAAAATATTACACATTACAAATACATGACCACGGAAAAAAACGCGCCACGTTTCACCATCATTAACAGCTATTTACAAAGGCACGGCTGTTCCTGCACCATCGTGGTGAATTTTCATGCAGATATGTTTTTATTATTACTCGTTAAGGTCGTATCGTGGACAGTGTATGCCCACTGGCAGCTATTCATTTATTAGCTTGATATGTCCCAATAAAATGGACTTTACTTCAGGCTGTCCGGGTGATGTTATGATTGCATCATCCTATTGATATCACGATCTCAGACTTAACCTGCAGCACCGACCGGCAGCCGTGGATGCTCGCAGCGCGTTAGAAACTCGCCTGGCGGCCTTCTCTCTGATGGTTAATCGCTTGCCTTAAGCATTAGTACTTAAATAAAAGGTCTAATCGTCTATACAGTTGCTGAGAAGCGCGTGAAACGTGTGTATTTTAGTGTACAGCTCCATGCTGATTCTTACCTTTGCAACAAAAGATCAACACCAACGCCTAAATAAAACGTTAGGCGTAAAACCGGCCACGTCCTCAGACCGCTAATAAAAACTCAACCGGCTTTTTTTGTTACTGAAACAACAAACGTGTCAACGTGGCCTCCTCCTCTTTCCCCGCCCACGTGTTTCGGGTCGAAATTTTAATTGGCAGGCTCACTGGCCAATCGCTAGCGAGCTAGGCTGCTCCTGTAGCCAATGGTTGGACGATAAATATATACATAAGCTTAAGGGCTTCGTTGCATCATGTTCACGGGAGCAGTAACAGGGATTCTTAGACAAAAATATGGGTCAAGTTCAAAGCACGGAAGCTGGTGTGATTAAATAGGTCCGTACACTCCCGGAGGCAGGCGCATTGAGGCAATTTGGATGATTTTCCAAAAATGTTGTTTTTGCCATTTAAAATGCTAAAACAATTACATCAAAGCCGGATGAGTGACACGAACGTGCATATAGAACGGTTCTGTTTGATACAAGCATATTATATTAAACGTATCATCTGACGTGACTTCCAGATGAGCCGTACGTAAATTTCGTAGCTTAACACAATGCGGAGGGAAAGCCATAAGTTCGCGCTGGGAACAGATTTGCCGGTTGCCTGCATGCAAGCGGCCCGTAGCGCGGTGGCGCGCACCGTTCGCTCCCCATCTCTGCCCTAATCGCAGTGTAATCACTCCTGCCAACATGTGTCGCTATCGGGTCGTCAGTGGCGCAGGCGGGCTGTCAGGCGCCAGGTGCCCGAGATGCGGGATTCAGGCGATGATCTGATGTTTATTTTAAACCTCCAGGGAAACTTCGTTCCTCCTGGTCTCCACCGGACTAAAACCCGCCGGCTTCCTATGGCCTGCGAGAAACAAAGTGCTTCAACTGCTGAATTTGGGGTGGGGTTTTCTTCAACCCGAAATTGCTGCACATTCCTCCTATAATGCCCCGGCCTTTGCATGCCGCTTCACTCGACACTGGCGGTATGGATGCTGTTCATCAGCTAATGTCAAACGTGAGAGCCCCCGCCCCCCCCCCCACCCCCCAAAAAAAAACCCCAGAAGGCCAAGGGACTTGAGTGATCTTCATTCCTGGTGTGTCATGCTTCCCTAAAATGGCTTTCTGCAGTCAAGTGGGGGATCTTTAGAGCAGTCACAGATCAGGAATCGCAAATATATAACCGGCAGCGTCTCTTCCTACTTGCCACAGGGCTTTTCTTAGTTGCTGTCGTTGCTTTTGTTGTATTACTTGTATTCAAAGTGACAAGCAAATGTCTCTGGGGTCCGGTAGGACACTTTCATCAGTTACTTTATCAGATTTTACAATGACAGATATTTCGGAAAGATTTTTTTTCTTCTTCTCCACGACGGGAGCACATTTCTGTTTTCCAAAAGCACAGCCTGTAATATGTTAAGTATCTGCGTGGTGGAGGTGTGTGAGCTGGCTTCTCTGATAATGTAATTGTGCGTCATAATTGTTTTGGCAACTGGGTTTATATCAGAGGTACTCGATTATTTTTCCCCCGAGGTCCGAATTCTATCAGCGACATGTAGCCGAGGACCAAGGGCCCCCCCCCTGCTAGTGTCCACCAGTTCTGAGTACCTCTGGTTCAGTTAAATAACTTAGTAAAATAATGTGTTTGAACCCCCATGAAATTAGTTTGCTACCAATCAGACACGCAGTCAGTTATGAAAATTATGACCTTGAAGCCCCCTTGAAATCTGCACCCTCCCTCCAGTCGACAGAACCTACTGAGGGCTCCCCCCCCCCCTCCACAAGGAGGCAAAATTTACGGATGAGGAGCCTCAAATTCACTCAGGATTCAAACACTCAAATTCATAGTGTAGTACATACCTAACTGGGTGGGTTGCCTGTTTAAGGGAGATGCCCCCCCCCCCTCAGTGAAGCAAGAGGGCATTCCCAGAAAAGAATGCAAGCAGACACATTTCTTTGCCTCAACAAGCAGCTAAATATAAATGTGAAGCTGCAGCCTGGGCAGGGCCCTGCCGTCCTGTCAGCTGTGACCGCCAGGCGGGGGGGCACTGGCATGCTGGTGCCTGCCCAGTTTCCCCAGTTCATCCCCTCCCAACACTTGTAGACATTCCAGGACAGCAGCTGGGTGTTCGGGCCCCCCTGCAGATCTGCGGTGCCCCCGCATGTGTCGCCAGGCAGAGCCCCCCCCCCCCTTTTCGGCATCCCCAGGCCTGCGAGTGGTTGCGGTTTAGGGTCCCTTAGGGGGCATACGGGAGGGGCTATCTCTGCGTGGGGATTGCTCTTCTATGATTCTCTGTCCCTCCCCCCGTATTTTTTTCCCCGGGCATGTTAATGGAAACGGCTGGGGTTCAGCCCACCTCTCTCTCTTTCTGACAGGTGATGCATGACGACACTTATTGGCTGTCGAAAATCCCCAGGGACTTATTCAGATGCCGGCATAGCGAGAGGGTCTGCGATGGGGGTGGGGTGGGGGGGGAATCGAAGCGTAGCCGTCGATTGTCAACCCCCCACACCCCAGCACCACCACACCATTCCTCTGGGTGGGAGGGAGTGGAGCCTCATTCTGAGACCATGCATCTGTCTCTGTGGCCACATTATCTGGCTCTTCTTGCAATATCTATCAGGGTGTTGTTGGGGGGTGCGGGGGATAGGGGGCTGAGAACAGTTTGAAATTCAGGAGGTGAACGGCTCGCGTCCAATGTTCCCCTTTCGACATAACCTCCTCCCTGAGATTCTCCTTTCCACTAGTTTACTAGCAACCAAGTTCTCATGATGTTTTCATTTGAATCGCTGTTCTTTTGAGGTCTTACGATGTCCCGTAAAGTGTCGTGAAGCTCCCGTTCCAATGCTAACTCGCACTTGTTACTGGTCACTCTGGAAGCTCTGCCTATCTCGCTCCTACATCCCCCTGTACGAGAGAGTCTGCTAAAGAAATAAATGTGAATGCAAACAGATCAGGTTCACACCAGCATCGCAAGGTATGAGATAGCACTGATCTCCTCAATGCACGCTCATCTTTTATTTGAAACAGGTGCCTTGAGTGTATCCTAAACGATCTCCAAACCTGTTCTGTATTTTTACTCCGAGGCTCTCAGCAGTGCCCACGCAGTACAAATGAGAAGAGCCACCAGGTCAGCGGTCGCCGTGTCCAGGCAGTTCACCCCGCGCAGGACTGCAGGCTGACATTTCAGCGTGTTTCAGGTTCCACAGACTGTCCACCTAAAGATGGAGACAGCTGATCTCCTGCGGCGATGTGCTCAGCCGGGAAGGGCTATTCGTGGCCCGATCAAAGCTGGGAGTGATCCAGGGGGCGTATTAAAGACATGCAAGATGACAGCCTTCTGACGTGTGAATCAGGGACCCTCCGCTGCAGGGCGGAACAGAGAGAGACAAGCGAGCTGAGGCACAGACAGGTACCACGGTGGCCATCGAGACATGGGTTCTCATGTTTTTATAGCGCTTCAAAACAGGACATGTGTACCTGTTTGTCATAATCATCACATGTTACCATGATGGTCTGGGGTCAAGGTTCTGAAATCTCACCTTACATGCACACACACAAACACACATATAAAATATATATATATATATATGTGTAACATCAAACTGTAAGCCCTTCTCTATATGGCTCCTCGGCCGGGGGGAGGGGGGGGGGGGAGTTTAATACCTGGTCCCTTGAAATAAACACGATAGAACATTAAATAACAGCTTTGGAAAAGCCTCCTTTTAGACAGCCTTAA